TATAACAGTACAACAAAAGTACACTTTATAGTTGCCATAAATTAATTGTGCTGAGTAGGTAAATCAATCTACGACAATGGCCACTTTTAACTGACCTTGTTTAAAGGTCCATTATTTGCAGATGTACAACGGTATATTCCGTATCCCAGAGAATAATTCATCTACAAATAACTAATAACGTATCAATCTTATTGCTGCAAAATGGGCGCTAATGGTAGAATGCAGTTAATCATTTAATCATGTACCGAGCACCTGAGCAAAGCCCAGCGGGTTATAATTGCCACTTGTGTGGTTGTTTGGCGATCATTGGTTACCAGGCGTAAATGATTTAACAAAACCTCTCTGTATACTCTGATTCCTCCTTGTATTTTAGATGATCTGACTTGTAATATACTCTTCTAGTATGTCTCTAGTCACTGCGAGCTCCGATATTTTTAGATATTTGTGTTTGACTGTTAAACATCCTAATCAGTGTAAAGCGTCCCCCGGGTGTGGAAATGAAATACCCCGAGTTGTTGGCAACTGAAGATCGGGCTGTGATTGTTTGCTCAAAAATTCTTGTCGACTCGAAAACTTCAACAAGTTTTTGTAAACTAGTCAAGCAGGTTCATGGTACACCGTAATGGTCCCAGAATATACCCACGGGGCAATATAAAAGCTGGGAAGCATTTTAATGTGCTTGTACCTGTGAGGACACTAGTTTTGCCGCTATGGCGATGACACTTATTCATCTGCTTATTTTGACGGCCCTGCTGAGTCTTTGTCAGGCAGACTTTAGCTCTGATTCCGTCTCCTCTGAGTGGATTCCCAAATCCAGCGGAGAGATGTTGGAGTTTGCAGAGGTCGAAACCGGGGAAAGACGACTGGCCAAAGCGTACGACGAGGAACCCAACTTTGAGATTCAGGTAAAACAATCATTTCTAGTCGTTACTAATCACGATAGCAATTACGTTGCTTAGTATTTAATGACTAGATCGTTTAGTTGAAAAATCGTTCATTCAGGGGGTAGGTATAGTGGCAAACTTCATTGCATAATAATTGCGAAGCTGGTGTGTTACTCCGAAGGGCGGTTATATTGGCTATACCGATACAGATAGAGATATCTAGCCCTTAGTCATTCAACCTGTTGTCATTAATATAGAATTTTGTTGATATTTTGATACTTTATCAATTGTATTGTAGTTTTATCACTACCAGCTAATAACATTTGTTACGTTACGATTGACGGTACTTTGGTATGAGAGTTAATTTGCAGGGTGGCTATTATCAGGGCTAATTATGTAAGTGGGTCACAAAACTAGTGTCTTGGTACATTCCCATTGTCTTTTTAAGGTTGACTAACATTGCATTACTTTTGTAATGATGATGCAGTAGAACAGCGAGCGTCGTTTATAAATTTGTAGCATCTTGTACAAAGTGACACATTTAAGTGTTCGCAGTGTACTAATAGTAATCTGGATTTATTGGCTTTCAAAACAATTACAAACATAATTGACATGTTAAACGTAACGTTTTTCTCAATCAACGAAATAGTTGATTACGGAAGGCCTTTGTATCTTGGAAATGATTTGGTTCACAGTTAGTGTAGCTTCCCCTATTGACCTTTGGTTTGTAAGAGTTTCTCAGTAACCAAACTTTGTGCCAAACTTGGGCATTAAACATTGGCTATTCATAGTCGTTTTGACAACAAACCCTCAATGAAACGACAAAAACCATTGAATTATGTCTCACCGCTAAGGAGACTTTTTAAAACGTGCGGCATTGATAAGTGTCGAAAAGGGGGTTACAGTCAGATACGGTAGGTATTAGAACATCATCACGACCTTGGGTCTCTACATAACGAAGCAAACACAGCTTTAAACACTAACAGATTTGAATGACGTGAAGACAACAATAATACATTGACGGTTTAGCTACATTTAATAAATTGCACAGTGCAAGAATACTCCATAATGCCCATTTTGATCGCACAAAAGCTACATGCCTTCAGATACGCTTGAAACCTTGGTACTTTGGCACTCCATACAAACACAACAGTGATACACGATCAAAGTCACGTTTTCAACACATGTTAGAACATGTGCATGTGAGAACATTCGCATTGTTTGCCTAGTGAGGACAAATGAATGCCAATATCCTAAAGTCACCCCCTAGCGGTTAGGAAAAACATGCTATCAGAGTGTGTATACATGATGGAGGTGTGCCTCTCTTCAAACATATGAACCCTTCTTTACATTCCATCCAAAAGGAGGCCCCTTACCAAAGTTATGTACCCATATTCATCTGTGGACAATTGAATGAGAAAATGGGTGAAAAGTGAATTTTTCAAGAGCTCAACACTGGGGCCTTCATATTTCCGTGTCGTAAACGGCCGTCGCCTTTCAGAACGGTCACCGTCTTTCGATGCCTTATCACTGCCTGGTCGATGTCATATCCGAGTGTATACAAACTTTTCTTGAGGTCTAAAACGTACAAAACGTAACATACACCATACAAACCAACATCCAAATTGCAAATGTAAGGGCAGATCAGAAAAAAAATATGAAAAACCACAAAAGAAAAATACACAAGCTCGTATTCATACCCGGGTCAAAAAACGTATCGTTTCAAAAGTCGACGACAGATTATAAGACGGAAATTATTAGCGCCTTGAGGTTCCTTCTCATGACCTTCACCCTAACCACAAGAACCACCTGCCACCTAGCCACAGGGGCCTTGACTTAAAAATGCTGACACTGATTGTTTCTTACCCCAACAATTCACACGTTCTAATGTAAAGACATCATGTTTCCTAATTAAATATTGCTGAGAAAAAATGCTATTACTGTTTGCAAGGCGTGCCGATGTACCAAGATTTGCAACGCCCATGAGAGAATGCTGCTTACGTATGATCTAAATTGGTCTATGTATATAACCCCTTGGAGTGTTTTCTTCCTGGGCAATTAATTGAAGGTAACTAAACCACCATTGTATTATCATTGTCTTTACGTCATCCATGTCTGGGGCTGTTTGCGTAGTAGTCTGGACAGCAGCCAACACAATTATCATAAATCAAGAATGTAATTAGTACTCATGCATAAAATAACCACTATCCGGTCGAAATTAGGACTGCTTTTCTCAATTATTATAGAAGGCATACTTCTACAGCGTGCGATTGTTAGGTATAGGTGATTTAACGTTTCCGTCTTATTGAAGAGGTTAAATCCCAGTGCCAGGGGGTATGTGGCATTTGGCTAATACGCGGGTCTAAGTAGACAAAGGACTATGAATAGCCAGTGTTTACTGTATAAGACTTACGTTTGACACAGACCTTCGTTGCTGGAGAACGCAGAAACTCAGCTCCAGTGGCCGCTATCACAACAACTGTCACAAAATCGATTAATGAGAGTAGGCAGGGGGCCTGGCTCATTAAAATGGTAAACAACGGATGCCACCATACCTGAGGCCCAAATTATTTACACGATATGAATATTTCTTGCAATAGCCAACTGAAGATTGTAATGTTGACTCTTTCTTGGACGGATCATTAATGTCTTTCTTTTTATTAATTTTGTGTTTCTCAACTTCGTATGTGATTTTGTCAAAAAGGAGGATTAACGTTGATTCATTTATCATGATGCTATCTTTTGCAATGACCAAGTGGGTAGAGTGCTCGCCTTGCATTCGGTAGGTCGTGAGTTTGGTCCCCCGCCGAGTCATACCAAAGACATTAAAACGGTACATGCTGAATTCTCTGCTTAGCACTCAGCTTCTTGGGAAAGTGTGTGCGAGTAAAACACACATCACTACTAGCGGACTGCTGTAGTGATCGCACAAATGTGTGGCCCAAGGTATACAGAACGGAGATGGGCGCCACCTTTTGCGACCTGATGGTTGCGTTTAAATTAAAATATTATCTGTTGCACAGTTGAAAAGGAAAGCAAAGTCACTGCACCAACACGCTGTAGCAAGCGTAGAAAAAACTGGAGAAGTTCACCACAGGGGTGGGCGTAGTACACCAGCCGATCCACTATGTGCAGGTACGGATCTACTAAGTGAGATCCTATTTTTCTGCTTGCAATAACGGCAATGCTCTTTGGTTCATTAATACCTAATAAACTTATACCTACGCTTAACAGCATACCCACTGCACAAAACGTGGGATGACCAATGGCTATAAATTCACTGACTATTTTAATGGATGAATGAATGAATGATTATTGTTGTGCCTTGCAAATACTCGCCCAAGCTATAAGTTAAAAGACTATAAATGCCAGGTGTTCCTTGTATTAATTTGCATCTGTTCGGACAATAGATAAAATAATCACGTATGATAGCTAATATAAGACATCGGATGAGATTATTAGGGCTTACTCCACAAAAAGTGCAATAGACCCATTCGACTTTCATGGATCGCATAAACTAATTACATCACAGGGGGGACATTTCGAAAGAACGTCGTTCTAGAACGCTGAAGTCGAACGCAGCTTGCGGTCGCGGTGTCCCCTGGCAGATCATTTTTTTTACTAAAAGGTAGGTAAGTGTCTATTTTCTCGGCAATATATGCGGAAATGACAGGAAAACAGGCACCAACTTTGTATGGTGGCATTCTGTACAACAATTTAAGGTTATTTTGTTCTGTGACGTATGCAGTTTATGCGATCCGTGAAAGGAACTTTCGAAATGTCCCCCCTGTGACGTAATTTTTATTCGAAATGTCCCCCCTGTGACGTAGGCAGTTTATACGATCCGTGAAAGTCGAATGGGTCTATTCACCAATAGCTTTTACATACACATAGGAAATATATACTGGCAAAGATTACCTAAGTCAACAGTTAACAGACAGTTGCAATGATCATCATTTATTTTGGCAAATCTCACTTATTAGGCAGTAGTCATAATGCAGGTTTGCTCTTTAGATCGGCAATAATTAAGTGTTGCTAGTTTTTGTTAATCTCCAAGCAGATCCTAGGGTGGCATAAGACAGTATCAAATTGAGAGGGGGTCCAACATAACCTCGGATGGCGTGTTGGTCCCTCTCTGTCTTTTGCGACCCTAGGATCCGCTTTGAGATTAAGTTTTTGTAAATGTTGCTACACTTTTCCTTAACATCAGGGGACCGCACGAACTGCGACCATGCGCCGTACGGCTTCTACCCAAACCTGCTGGACTGTACCGTGTATCACGAGTGTCCAATCACTACGCGCGGTAACAATATCATTCAGCATCAATGTGCCGGTTCAGAGTACTTCGACTGGGACCTTCTCATGTGTAAGGACCTAGCGCCCATGTGTGCAGGTTAGTTGTTAAACCCCTTTACGTATCATTCGGATTATATTTTTGCATTAGTTATCCTTGACATCTTCATCCAATTTAGTTCTAAGTGAAAATACATGAAATATGTAAAATCTATGCCAGTCTTAAGTTTACGATGTTGAAAATCTAGTGCCCGATTGTTAACTCAAATGCATTTTTGTTGCAAACTACGTACATGAAGATTTAATTTTCTTACCTGATATTAGGACTATTACAATCCTCAGAAAAATCTAGATGATGTTCCACCAAGAACCACTTATAACCTAATGGTTTCAGTTGTACAATGCCCATCGATGGACATTAACGGAACAGTGAGTCCTGCGGGGCCGCACTACCCAGACGATGTGGTTACAGTCTCCTGTAATCCCGGGTACGAGCTGGAGGGACTCTCTACTGCAACATGCCAATCTAACATCACTTGGAGTGCTGTCCCAACATGCAGAGGTACCAAGGAAACATGTTGTTGATGTATGATGTTTTTACATGTATCAAGCATGGCATTCGGTTTTCGTTTTATCTAGTGCAGTATAGTGGAACTCCTTGTTTCTAATAACAGTTACGTTACCTGTGTTATCTTGAAAGTTCACCTGTGTTGGTAGAAGTCATTATGACAAGTTTGAACTGTAATTGCGAGCACAAAATATTGGACTCACCCAACTTTTCGACTGTGCAACTCCAGTCTTTGTCAAGGAATGACAATCCATCGATTTCGCGACGTCACGTAGATAACACACGTGAGCAGTGGATCATAGGTTGCAGAAAGTCTGTGGCGCCTCCCGTCTCTGTTGTGGGATGGTTGTAATGCCCTGATGTAGATGTAGTATGTCTGTGTGTTGTTCCTGCAGATATTGATGAATGCGCAGTTGCGAACCGCGTGTGCGGCCCTCCCACAGGCACATGTACCAACACACCTGGCAGTTATACCTGTACCTGTAACCCAGGCTACATCAGCTATGGTGGTACCTGTACTGGTGAGAGGAATAGTTGTTGACTTGTCTTGTGATCTTAAAGTTTAAAACATCATGATACCTACTGAGAATCAGTTTATAGTTTTCTTAATATTAATTTTATATGTATGTATGTAGTACAGCTTGTTCATTCTACCCTTGTAGAGACGGGTATCTGACGTAGTGTATTTTGCCCATGTAGGTCGTGAATATGCAATCAGGTTCATTGTCCTTGTCATTAATGACATACGTTTATATTTTGAGACAAAGCTGATTTCCGGTTTGTTACTGCAGATATAAATCAATGTACAGATGGGACCCACAACTGCCATGCAGATGCCGTCTGTACCAACGTGATAGGCGGCAGTTTTACCTGTACTTGTAAACCAGGCTACACTGGAGACGGTGTCACTTGTACGGGTGAGGAAGGCTTCTTACTTATGTTGATGCTTCTGGTGTATGTGACAAAAAGCTGATTATCAAGAATAGATGTTTATAAAACTTATATCCTTTGGCAAAGACAATTGGCAGTTGTCAGTGTTTTTGTACTTTAGTAACATAGGCTACAGAGACTAGGGTGTGATGCAGTAGTGTTAATCATTTTTCGCATATGTTGATCAAGGCATAGGCGGGAGCCATTGTTATATCATTTGTTTATAATTTCAGCTCTATCTTGTCCAACTCTGACGACCCCAGCCAATGGTGCACTGAGTCCTACAGGAACTCACTACTTCCAGGACGTGGTTACGTTTACCTGCAACCAGGGATACGGGTTAAACGGGGCCTCTACTGTAACGTGTCAAGCTGACAGCAACAACAACTTAAAATGGAGTGATCCTGTCCCAACCTGCACAGGTACCAACACATAAATTTACTCACTCACTAATTCACTCACTCACTCACTCACTCACTCACTCACTCACTCACTCACTCACTCACTCACTCACTCACTCACTCACTCACTCACTCACTCACTCACTCACTCAGGTCCGCTTGCTGCTAGAGGCGTGGCGCCCCGGCAAACAGACCTCCAGACGCATCTGTTCTGCGCTGCTTCCCAGGCTGTGGTTAGGTTGTGTCCAAGCTACCTGTACCAGCACACCCGACAGTTTTACCTGTACTTGTAACACAGGCTACAGTGGCAAGGGTGTAATTTATCAGTACACATTGTTTCCTGCAGATGTTGACGAATGCGCAGATGGGAGCCATAGCTGTGACCCAGATGCCACCTGTGCTGACACAGACGGCAGTTTCACCTGTGCCTGTAACTCAGGCTACAGCGGCGATGGTTTCACCTGTACTGGTAAGGAACAATTTAGAAACTTGATGTGTAATTTTGGATGCAACTTTTTTTGCCATACGTAGATAAGTCTAGCATTAAATTGTTCATCATAAACCCTTAACTAATATGGGCTATATAAACATTAAGTTATCTTCTTGCCTGATACAGATGACGATGAATGTACAGATGGGAGCCACAACTGCAGTCCCGATGCCACCTGTGCCAACACAAACGGCAGTTTCACATGTACTTGTAACACAGGCTACATTGGCGACGGTGTTAACTGTATCGGTGAGAAACATTCTGTGTCCCATTTTGATTGTTTAGATTAAACTGCATATACAAGCAGTAGAAAATTCTTGTAGGCTGCAATACGCCAAATGCAATATAAATGTCTTTATGCTTTATACTGCTGGGCATAACCTATACCATAAATGTTTGTACAGTTGGTCAAAGCATATTCGAGCTAAGTAAAACTTAACAGCGTCGTCAACCAGTCTTTTAACTTTGCTCGTTATATTGTTTGATTTGGGATCATGAGTTATGACATCAGTTTTATCTTTTATTCATAATTTTAGCCCCACCTTGTCCCACTCTGACGGCCCCAGCCAATGGAGGAATGAGTCCTCCCTGTCCTCACTACTTCATGGATTTCGTTACGTTCACCTGTAACCCGGGGTACGTGTTGAGCGGGGCTTCTCCTATATTGTGCGGAGTTGGCAGCAACAACAACAACCTAGCGTGGAGTCATCCTGTCCCAACCTGCACAGGTACCAACACAAATAGTTACTTATGATATTTATGAATACCCTTTTAAGATCATATATCAACTACATCAGTGGGGAAACTTATGTTGTTATTTAGATGAAACTACATAACATCAGTGGGGAAACTTATGCTGTTGTTTAGATGATATTGCATAACATTTAGGAAGTAGACATTTCTTTTACGCTAATGAATATAGATGTCGTTATACTTATAAGACACCAAGCTATACCGAGCTAAACCTTAAGAAAATTTGCTTACAAACTTACATTCTTACCTACAGCTGTGGTCCCCGTAACTACACAAACGCCTTCCAGCCCTGCAACTACTCAAACATCTGCCATCCCCGCAACTCCATCATCTGCGAGCCCCGTAACTCCATCAACATCTGCAGGTCCCGTAACTACCCCAACAACAACTGCGGGCCCCGTAACTACCCCATCAACATCTGCAGGTCCCGTAACTACCCCAACAACAACTGCGGGCCCCACGACTCTTTCAACAACAACTGCTGACGACACAACTTTGCTACCAACAACTGTGGTCCCTCTAAGTCTTCCACCAACAGCTACAGGCCCCACAAACATTCCATTAACAACTGGTATGCATTTCTGGAATCCAATGGACAAGATAGAATGCTACTGTTTTTTACGTATACTTTTGGTGTATTTCATGTAATATTTGCCTGTATCTTTTGTATTTTTATGTTATGTGGAGCACAGCATCATGTAATTTGCTGCCTGTCAGCTGCCTGGCGGCAACATTGTATTGCCATGTTGCAATGTCAAATAAATAAATTTGCTGCCTAGTGCTTCGTGTATTGCCTTTGCAAGTTGAATGAAGAAACGTCTCGATTTCCCATATTCCTTATTGCTGAACACACATGTGACAGCGGATTCGACCAGTAATCGTATGATTGTCTTTACAGGTCAATTCACTTACGGGGTCTGCGTTGACGGTTGGACGCCGTACTACAGCATCCATCAGCCGAACACTCGGGACTTCAAAGATGGAGACTTCGAGCCTCTGGGCCAGATCGTCACCACTTACAACCTCTGCGGAGGTGACCCTGACCTGGTCTGGGACATCAGCTGCCGAGAGGTATTAAGATCATTTCCTTCTGCTGTAAAGCCTTGAGAAGTCTATCTCATCGTATTTCTATATACGAAAGTGGAATAAAAGTGTCGTAATGTTCATATCATATACTCGTACATTTTGTCAAACAATTGATTAATCAGGATATAGGGATTTTCTTCTTACCTGCTAACGTTTCGATGTACATCAGGCCCCTTCCTCAGAGCTTCTGAATACATATAGCGGCGAGAAGCAGAACTCCACTCAGAAGATCTAAGAAAGGTGTCTGATAGATATCGATACGCAAGTAGGTGACATACATTACCGGCTGTGTGAGAAGAAAATCCCTATACCCTACCTTTTCGGGCTTGCTTGACCAGTCATGTCCGTGCATGTCTGTGCATACTCGGTGACTTACCAACCTAATGAAACTATTCACGGTTCTGTACGTGCAGGTTAGCACCCAGGCTCCGTGGGACAGTACCGGTGCGGCGGGTCTGGAGTGTGACACTCCCACCGGCTTCTACTGCTCCAACTCTCTCAACTACCCCGTCATGTGTGAAGACTACGAGATCAGCGTTAACTGTAACTGTGCAGGTGTAAGTTTGGTTTGTTTGTTTGTTTGTTTGTTTGTTTAGGATCTCCATTAGTGTGAATTTCACGCTATCCTTCCTGGAATCCGTAGTGAATAATCAGACCAGTATTTGGACCATCGCACACCGGGGCATGCCTCTACTCTTTTTCGAAAGGTATGGTGCGTTCTTTAACGTGCGTGGGATGTGGCTCTCCCCAAACACGGGACCTCCATTTAACGTCTTATCCGAGGGACGTCCCTAACCGAAGCTAGGTACTCATCTTCACCTGAGTGAAGTGATTAGGTATTTATTAAGATCAGTATTTTACTGCTTTAAAACCTATCAAACAGCCCAGTAATTAATAGTATATTCATGCAAACATACAGATGCAGAAATTATAATTGTAAAGTTCACCAAGTCTTATTTCTTCCAACACAGGCCCAGGCCACTACCGGCCCTTGGCAGACCACAACCAGCCAGATCACTACCATCCCAACACCCTCCGTCACTGGTCAGTACCAATTGAAGATTATTGGAGAGTTAACAACGTACGGCTACTAAAAGACAACTGCCTAATTTCATACTAAAAAGATTCTAGTACGCACTATACTCATACATTGCCGTAAAACATATTTTGATATATAGAAGGTGGGATGTGAACTTTCATGATTTCACAAAATTTTCTGTATTGCTGATGAGTTAAGTTGAACGCGCATATGTATGTTGCGCCTGCGACGATGTAACCTGTACAGCCTGGAGTCTTGTACAGGCTTGTTAGCTTTCGTCCGCTTCCTATGTTCACCTTTACTATCACGATTGTATTTACTCTACAGCTCAATTCACAAACGGGGTCTGCCATGATGGCTGGACACCGTACTACAGCATCCATCAGCCGGACCCACAAGATTTTACGGATGGAGACGTCGAGCCTGTGGACCAGATTGTCACCACCTACAACCTCTGCGGCGGTAACCCTGATCTGGTCAAAAACATAAACTGCCGCGAGGTACCAATTGCAGGATCATTCCTTAGCTTTCTCTGTAAAACCTCAAAATGTCTGGCTCGTCATATTTTTTTTATATATGATAGCGCCATAACATTGACCTTAGTGTCCACATAAATAGGTATTTTGTTAAAACCCCCTATTGTTTAGTAACCAAAACAATTTTTGTCCAATCAGATCGGTTCCCAGGTTCCATGGGACGCGACTGGTGCAGTGGGCCTTGTCTGCGACATCACCACCGGCTTCTCCTGTTCCAATGCTCTCAACTACCCGGTCATGTGTGAAGACTACGAGATCAGCGTTAACTGTAACTGTGCCGGTGTAAGTTTGGTTTCTTTGTTTGTTTGTTTGGGATCTCTATTAGTGTGAATTTCACACTACTCTTCCTGGGGTCCGTAGTGAATAATCAGACAAGTATTTGTACCATCGCACACCGGGGCATGGACCTACTCTTTTTCAATAGGTGTGGTGGGTTCTTTAACGTGCATGGGGTGTGGCTCTACCCAAACACGGGACCTCCTTTTAACGTTTTATTCATGGGACGCCCCTAACCAAAGCTAGATACTTATTTCACCTGAGTGAAGTGATAAGGTATTTATTACGATCAGCATTTTGCTACGTTGACACCTATCAAACAGCCCAAAAAATACTAGTATATTCATGTAAATATGCAGACGCAGAGATAATAATTGTACTGTTCACCAAGTCTTATTTCTTCCAACACAGGCCCAGGCCACTACCGGCCCTTGGCAGACCACGGCCAGCCAGATCACTAGCATCCCAACACTCCCCGTCACTGGTCAGTACCAATTGAAGATTATTGGAGAGTTATTTACGGCTACTAAAAAGCAACTGCCTAACTTCATACTATAAAGATTATAGTACGCACAATAATCATACTTTGCCATAAAACGTATTTCATTCTACAGATAATGATGAATGTGCAGATGGCAGCCACAACTGCAGCCCGGATGCCACCTGTACCAACACACCCGGCAGTTTTACCTGTGCTTGTAACTCTGGCTACAGCGGCGATGGTTTCACCTGTACTGGTAAAAAAAATTCTGTAACATTTCTCGAAATTCCGGAAAGATAGCTTCCGCCCATTCCGTCAAAATAGCATGCAGGCTGCAAAACCCGGAATAAATGCACGGGTTACCATATCCTTGTAGTCTCCACCAGACTCTTTTTCAGGCTGAATAAATATTAGAAATTGACCTAAAAAGAATGTAGCTGACCAGAGGAGTTGGCCTGCCATACAGGATCTGGTTTACAATTTTGTGTATAGACTGGACCCGCGTTGGTCGTCCAACTCCCCTGGCCAGCTATACGGTTACTTCATATAGCCTTATACTTTTGCAGTTTGTATTGTTTTGTGAAGCAGTATGGCAAAGCTATCAACATTTCTTTATAATGTTGATAGCTTTATAATATATAATTTCAGCTCGATCATGTCCGCCTCTGACGGCCCCAACTAACGGAGCAATGAGTCCTCCTGGGCCTCACTACTACGACAAGAACGTGGTTACGTTTACCTGTAACCAGGGGTACAAGTTGAACGGTGCCACTACTGCAGTATGCCAAGCTGGCAGCAACAACAACATGGCGTGGAGTCACCCTGTCCCAACATGCACAGGTACACAAACAGCCATTGTTGAATTTAATGTATACGTATTCATCAGTTGTTGCCATATGTTGTATAATGTAACAATTGCCGTGCAATAAAGAAGTTCTTTTTTAATCACCTGTTTGATGATACAGATAAAGATGAATGCGCGGATGGAAGCAACAACTGCAGTCCCGATGCATTCTGTACCAACACACCCGGCAGTTTTACATGTACTTGTAAGGCAGGCTACAGCGGCAACGGTGTCACTTGTACTGGTGAGGACAGTGTTCTTTAACTATTTTATATGTGTAAATACATACATACATACATCTGATTCTGATGAGTTAAAGATGTCTAATAGTGTACTATTCCATTATTGCAACTACTTAATTAAGTTTTATTTTTGTGCAGATGACGATGAATGTGCAGATGGGAGCCACAACTGCAGTCCCTATGCCTTCTGTACCAACACACCCGGCAGTTTTACATGTACATGTACCTCAGGGTACACCGGTGATGGTTTCTTCTGTTTTAGTGGTAAGGAACAGATTAATTAACTATTTATTTTAAAGGTTTGTATGTATGTATGGACGTATACATTTAACAAAACACACAAAATAGCTTTTGGATTTAAATATCACAAAACCTTTCTTAAGTAGAACGTTCTTTTTGTTTTGTTTATGCAGTAAATGACCAATGCACATCTGGAACTCACAACTGCAGCCCGCATGCCTTCTGTACCAGCACAGCTGGTAGTGTTACCTGCACCTGTTATCCAGGCTACAGCGGTGACGGTGTCACGTGTACTGGTAGGGAAATGTGTTTATTTTAAAGGTTCAAACTATGCCTAAAAGACGAAGAATCTTGCAGGCATCACGATGAATCCCATACTAATTAAAGATTTTTGATAATAAAACTACATCTACTAAAAAGACGTATGCATTACATATTCTAAACGGCGTATACACTATGCCCATACCTCATTTTAAAACACAAACTTGCTCTTTCTTTCATCTACAGATGATGATGAATGTGCAGATGGGAATAACAACTGCAGCCCCCATGCCACCTGTACCACCACACCCGGCAGTTTTACATGTACTTGTAACCCTGGCTACATCGGCGACGGTGTTGTCTGCAATGGTAACGGAAAGATGTTTTCCGTGCACTCTGTTAGAAATGAACATGCATTCTGTAATTAGGGCTTGGTTAGGCATTGTTTGCTCGAATACACGTCTTCTGGAATTCACATATGTAAACGTAGATTGACGTAACTGTAACGTCAAGTAGTTCATATTGTTTAATGAAGCACAATAACTTTATTGTGGCCATTCCTTCATAATTTCAGCTGTACCATGCCCAACTGTGACGGAACCAGTTAATGGAGCTCTGAGCCCCACCGGCCCTCACTACTACCTGAATGTGGTAACGTTTACCTGTAACCCGGGGTACAAGTTGAACGGGGCCACAACTGTAACGTGCCAAGCTGGCAGCAACAACAACCTAGTTTGGAGCAGCCCTATTCCAACCTGCACAGGTAACAATACAAAAACTTATCGATGACTACAATGTTTACATATGTATAAACCACCATAACTATTTTAAGTACAAGTTGTTGTTTCAACATTTATTCTTTATAATAAAGTTAATGTCCTGTTTTTTGGGGGCAGACGTTGACGAATGCACAGATGGAAGCCACACTTGCAGCTCCGATGCCTTTTGTACCAACACAGCCGGCAGTTTTACCTGTACCTGTAACGCAGGCTACAGCGGCAATGGCGTTATTTGTACTGGTGAGTAGGATTTATGTTAGAAAAAAAACGTTTATGTTTTTGTCACATATCCTTATGAGAACAGATTTCTGTAAGGATGATTTAATATGGTAATGGAATTCAGCAACAGTGTAAATAAAGAGACGTTAATCGTTATGAAGTTTACGCTAGTTTATATCGAAGCAAATCTACTCTTTTTTTAGATGGCGATGAATGTGCAGATGGGAGCCACAACTGCAACCCCGATGCCACATGTACCAACACACCCGGCAGTTTTACCTGCGCTTGTAACTCAGGGTACACCGGAGATGGTGTCTTCTGTTTCAATGGTGAGAACAAATTATTTACCCGTGTTGAAGTTCCAGTTGTAAGTGCCAAGTTCCAGCTGTTGCCTTCATCAAAGCACTGAAAATTGCTGGTTGACTGCAAAGAACCAATACCATGAAGAATAGCTATATTTTAATCTTTGCTAGATTTTCCTAAGATTCTAATTGATAGAAAAATATAGAAATTATCGTGTAGACCGTAAAGCACTAGTCTCTACCAGACTCCAGACACCAGGCAACATCATTGACCAGAGGAGTTGGCCGGCCATATAGAGGGTACGGCTTGCCTGCCCTCTATGGCCGGCCAACTTCTCTGGCCAATGATGTTCCCCTTAGGCGATTTCTACTATTTATTCAGCCTGCAAAGGAGTCTGGTGGAGACTAGTAAAGCATCACTGTCTTAAAAACAATACATTAAGCAGAAATAAAACAAAGGTGTTTTGGAATTCTTTTTGATGATTAAAAAACTATTCTTTCCCTTTTGAAGCCAATGACCAATGTGCAGATGGGAGCCACAACTGCAGCCCCGATGCCTTCTGTGTACATCACAGCACATCTGGTAGTTTCACCTGCACCTGTCACTCAGGCTACAGCGGCGACGGTGTCAAGTGTACTGGTAGGGAAGAAATCTGAGTCTTGTGTTTGTAGGATTTAGATCAAAGTCAATTCCATCTAGATCAACGAATATTCTTGTTTCCATAAAAATGTCAAAAATATTTTTCTATTATTAAAACCAAGGTATTGTCAAATCTTGCGAATTTAAAACAACACTTCTTGCATTTTTTTTTCGTCAGATAATGACGAATGTGCAGATGCAACCCACAACTGCAGCCCCCATGCCACCTGTACCAACACACCCGGCAGTTTTACCTGTACATGTAACCCAGGCTACAGCGGTAACAGTGTGATCTGTAATGGTAAGGGAATACTGTAACTCAATTGTCGCAAATATTTTCTGTACATTCTGTTACAATTGTTAATGCAGGCTGCAGACCACGGAGTTTAATGCCCGATTAACCATCTTATTGCTACCATACACGTTTTTATAACTCGTATCTGAGGAAGCGAAGTTGTATTCTGTAAATTAAGTAGACATTAAGCTTTCGCCAATTAGTTATCACTTTTGCGGTTTATATTGTTTAATGAGACACTAATGACATTATTGTAACCATCTGTTCACAATTTCAGCTGTACCATGTCCGACTCTGACGACTCCAGCTAATGGAGGTCTAAGTCCCACCGGGCCTCACTACTTCTTGGACATAGCTACGTTCACCTGTAACCAAGGGTACAAGTTGAACGGGGCCTCTACTTTAACGTGCGAAGCGGACAGCAACAACAACCTAGAATGGAGCGATCATGTCCCAACCTGCAAAGGTACCAACACGAACAACCATTGATAATTCCGAGGTATTCATATTCAACAGTAGTTGCCATACAGTGTATAATGGTCATGTACAATTGTTATGCAATAAACACTAGGTTTAAACACTTGTATTCTTTGATAAGTTAACCCTGTGCCTGTTTGTCGATACAGATAATGACGAATGCGTGGATGGAAGCAACAATTGCAGTCCGGATGCCTTTTGTACCAACACACCCGGCAGTTTTACCTGTACTTGTAACTCAGGGTACAGCGGCAACGGTGTAATTTGTACTGGTGAGTAGGGATTACATGTATGTTAGAAAAAACGTTATGTATTTGTGAAATGTGCTGGTGAGGACAGACTTCTGCAACGATGCTTAAATATGATAACATAATTCAGCAAGCGCTTTCTAAACAACAGTGTAATATGGAGACTTTTAGCTGATGATATGATATACCTTAGCTAATCTACTCTTTTTGCAGATGTGGATGAATGTTCTGACGGGACCCACAACTGCAGCCCGCATGCCACCTGTACCAACACACCCGGCAGTTTTACCTGTACTTGTAAGGCAGGCTACACCGGAGATGGTGTCTTCTGTTTTAGTGGTAAGGAACAGATTGTTTACTTGTGTTTAATGTTCCAGTTGTAAGTATATGTTTGCTAGTACACAGAAAAGAGCTGGTTGACTACATAGAACCAAAGACATCAAAATAGCCATACCTTTAGAAGTTAGAAATGGTAGTATTTCTGTTATATCTTTTTACAAAAACTTTTTTGCAGCTGTTGACCAATGTACAGCTGGGAGCCACAACTGCAGCCCCTACGCGTTCTGTGTGGCCACGTCGGGTAGTTTTACCTGTTCCTGTTACCCAGGCTACAGAGGCGACGGTGTCACCTGCACCGGTAGGTAAAATATCGTAAAATTTTTAGGTCTAACTATGATTAGAAGATGAAGAATCTTGAACGCCCCAAACTGCTTCCAATGCAAGTTGAAGGGTTGTCCTTGTTTCTGTTAACCAAGCCTTGTAAATAGACGTAGTCATTTTATATAGTTTTTGTATCATTACAAATAAATAAGCGAGATAAACTCACTTCTTTTTTTTTTTTACAGATAATGACGAATGTGCAGATGGAAGTAACAACTGCAGTCCGGATGCCACCTGTACCAATACACCCGGCAGTTTTACTTGTGCCTGTAACCCAGGGTACAGCGGCGACGGTATTATCTGTAATGGTAAGAGAAACATTCTTATTTTTCTTGCAGAGAGATATATTCTGTTTATTATGTTTCAAGGCTGTGAATCTGGTTTCTGAGTCAGTATTTTGTCAATGAATTAGACTTGGTAAAAGCATTCCTTCATCATTTCAGCTGTACCATGCCTGTCTCTGACGGCTCCAGTTAATGGATTCCTGAGTCCTACCGGACCTCACTACTACCAGGACGTGGTTACCTTTACCTGTAACCAGGGGTATAAGCTGAGTGGGGCCACTGCTGTAACGTGCCAAGCCGACAACAACAATCTAGAGTGGAGCGATCCTGTCCCAACCTGCATAGGTACCAACAAAAATTGTCACTGATCGATACAATTTATGCACGTATAATTTTCTGTAACTATTCTTAGAATGTTTCACTACTACTGATAGATTTTTTTAAATATATCATAATGGCATGTGGCATTTGTTGGTCCAGATAACGATGAATGCACAGATGGGAGCCACAACTGTGCCCCCCATGCCACCTGTACCAACACACCCGGCAGTTTCACTTGCGGTTGTAAAGCAGGCTATAGCGGTGACGGTTTCACCTGTACTGGTAAGAAGGCATTCTGTAACTTTGTTTACTGGTAAGGTAAACTATTATTTGACATATGGTCATTATTAACATGCACTTAAAAGACGGTCTTGATAATAAGGAGACGTTTTAAAACTTTAAAGCATTACAAGTCGAACCTAATCTATATTTTGTTTATGCAGATGTTGATGAATGTGCAGATGGGACCCACAACTGCAGCCCCTATGCCTCCTGTTTTAACACAGTAGGCAGTTTTGTCTGTGCTTGTAAGTCGGGCTTCAGTGGCGATGGTGTCACTTGTACTGGTGAGAATCTATATTCTATATTCTAAATACAGAAACAGGCGTTTTCATGTATTTTAAGGCAATTTATTCGCATAAGAGGCATCAAACCTCAGAATCAAATACGCAGGTAATTAAGCATTTCCTCAAATGTCAAGTGCTTTTTGAGTAATGTATTATGAGAAAGCTAATATCTTTTTTTTACTTTGTGCAGATGAAGACGAATGTACGAACTGGAGCCACAACTGCGATATCGACGCCACCTGTACCAACACACCCGGCAGTTTTACCTGTACTTGTAACTCAGGCTACAGCGGCGACGGTGTTACTTGTACTGGTAAGGACAAGGTTTTTAACTCTGCTTATATAGAAATACATACTAGCATCATTTTAAAGACAATCCTTGTCAACGTGTAAATTTACATTATTGTATGTCGCAGCTAATTGTCATTATTGTTTGTGCAGATGTTGACGAATGTGCAGATAACAGCCACAACTGCAGCCCCGATGCCACCTGTACTAACACACCCGGCAGTTTTAAGTGCAAGTGTACCATAGGCCACATCGGTGATGGCTTCCTCTGTTTTGATGGTGGGGAACAAATTATTACTTTTTACAAAACTACGTTCCATGTGTAAACATATCATTACTAATAAACAAATAAACAAATATATAGAATGTAAAATCAATGCCATTAAAACATATGCATAGCTTTAGTAGAAGTAACAAAATAGGAGTTTTAAAATTCCCTTTAATGGAAAACTTTTGATTCTGTTTCTGCAGCGATTGACCTTTGCTTACCTGGAAGCAACATCTGCAGCCCCCATGCCTTCTGCTCTGACCCACTCGGTACCAACACACCCGGCAGTTTTACCTGTACCTGTGTCTCAGGCTATAGCGGTGACGGTTTCACGTGTATTGGTAGGAAGGTTTTTGTAACATGTTTTTTTGTTGTCTTGTTTTCATGTGTATAAAATAAGAGTAAGGAACTGATTCCATGTTACTTTTGTTTACATAAACTGCGTCTGCTAAAGTATTTATTCATTCGTACAGATGTAGATGAATGCGCAGATGGGAGCCACAACTGTAGCCCCCATGCCACCTGTACCAACACACCTGGCAGTTTTACATGTACTTGCAACCCAGGCTACATTGGCGACGGTGTTAAATGTACTGGTAAGTAAGGATTCGGCAGCCGTTATTTTATTATACAATATAGTTTGAGTATGTTTACATTACAAATCTTATTCATCCTGCAAAACCAAAAATCAATGCAAGGCGAATCATATCGTTGCGAAAACGAAGGTTTTTGAAATTAACTCATTTCTGAGGAAGAGAATTATTAGAATAATTTAAAGAATTTTGTAAATGTAAAATTTGCTAAACTTGGCAGTTACGTCAACTAGTGTGTTACCTTCAAGTTGGTAGTTTGTATTGAGGAGGCACCATGAGTTATGAAATCATTGTAAAAACGTATCTTTTTTACTTCAGCTCTACCATGTCCGGCTATCACGGCCCCAGCTAACGGAGCATCGAGTCCTCACGGGCCTCATTACGACAAGAACGTGGTCATGTTTACCTGTAACCAGGGGTACGAGTTGAACGGGGTCCCTACTGCAACGTGCCAAGCTGGCAGCAACAACCTTGAGTGGAGTGATCCTGTCCCAACCTGCACAGGTACCAACGAGAAGTGTTACTGATCAATACAATTTATGCGGATTGAATTTTCTATAACTACTATTTCTAAAATTTAGTCATCCATTGTTCATTTCGGAGAAAAAAATATGTTGATTTTATGTTTGTTGGCACAGATAATGATGAATGTGCGGATGGGACGCACAACTGCGATCACCACGCCACCTGTACCAACACACCCGGCAGTTTCACCTGTACTTGTAACGCAGGCTACAGTGGCAGCGGTGTAACTTGTACTGGTAAGGAAGAATCCTGTATCTTTGAATGCAGAAATAAACGTTTTAGGCACATCAAAGTCATGCAGTTTATCGCCAAACAGGCTAGAAAGCTCAGATTTGAATACGTAAATGATTATAAATATTCTCACTTGAATATGTAATACATGTTTTTTTTTAACTTATGAGCAAAATAACTGATTTGTTTAATTTCTGTGCAGAGGTCGACGAATGCACAGATGGGAGCCACAACTGCAGTCCACATGCCACCTGCACCAACACGCCAGCCAGTTTTACCTGTGCTTGTAACCCTGGCTATAGTGGTGACGGTGTTACCTGTAAAGGTGAGGACAAGATTCTTTAAATCTGTTTTGATTGTTTTGATAATTAATTGTAACTTAAACCACTTCATATCGCGGCTAATTTTCATTTTGTTTGTGCAGATATCGATGAATGTGCGGACGGGACCGACAACTGCAGTCCGGATGCCACCTGTTTTAACACACCCGGAAGTTTTACCTGTATTTGCAACTCAGGCTACATCGGTGATGGGTTCTTCTGTTTCGGTGGTAAGGACCAAATCTGTACCTGTGTTGAAATTCGAGATGTATTTTTCTTATTTATAACACAAAAATAGCTTGTAGGCTGTGAAGCATAAACGGCATGTAAAGATACGCACACGGATATGTGTTATTCAGCTTCCAATTATTAACAATCTAATAATCTTGTTCGCAGCCAATGACCAATGCACAGATGGAAGCCACAACTGCAGCCCTCATGCCTTCTGTACTAACACACAGGGTAGCGTTACCTGTACTTGTTCTACGGGGTATAACGGCGATGGCGTTACATGTACAGGTAGGGAATTATTTATTGTGCGGTTTATTCTCCTTTATCTGCCTACCACCTGTGGGCGACAGCTATTCTGCCATAATATTTTTTGTCAAAATGCATCAAAATGCAGTCCGTTCCATTATGAATCAAGTTTAAACTCCATCTACCAACACAGATGATCTTTCAAGATAAGCATTCTGTTCCAATTAAGGAACATTTTATTTCAGTTTCGACAAGCTAAATCTGCTATATAGACGTCTTAATATTATATTCTATACAGATTTATATACAATACATATTTCTTGCAAAGAAAGCTCAAGACTTTCTTTATTCGTACAGATCATGACGAATGTGCAGATAACAGCCACAACTGCAGTCCCCATGCCACCTGTACCGACACACCCGGCAGTTTTACATGCACCTGTGATTTTGGCTACTTCGGCGATGGTGTCAGATGTACTGGTAAGAAAGGAATTGTCAGCTCTTATTTATTGAAGAAATATAGTTTCCGTACATTTCATTACAAAGCATCTTGCAATCGGTAAACCCGTTTATAATACCCAGTAACCATGTTGTAGCTTTGACACACATAAAACTTATCCATTTTCATTCTGAAAAAGTGAGTTTTTTGTAATGGACTAGACTTCACAGTGGTGTGCTTGACCATGATGTTGTTTGATAAGTAATGACATTATGGTAATCATTTTCCTCTTAATTTCAGCTCTATCATGTCCAAATCTGATGGCGCCAGTCAATGGAGCGCTAAGTCCCATGGGCCTTCACTACTACGAGAAGGTGGTAACATTTACCTGTAACCAGGGGTTCGAATTAGACGGGGCCACTACTGCAACATGCCAAGCTGGCAGCAACGGAAATCTGGAGTGGAGCGATCCAGTCCCAACCTGCACAGGTACCTTCAAAAAGAATTACTGAGAAATACAATACATACATGAACCTATACAACTCACCATAGCTATTTGGCACATTTAATCCCTTGTTGATGTTTTGAATAATCCTGTAAGAAAGTTAATGTCTTTCTTCTGCACAGATAATGATGAATGCGCTGACGGAGGCCACAACTGCAGCCCCCTTGCCACCTGTACCAACACACCCGGCAGTTTTACCTGTACTTGTAACCCAGGCTACTTCGGTGATGGGATCTTATGTTTTCCTGGTGAGAACAAGATTAACCTATGCTGGAGTTTTAAATTTAAGTAAGAATGTATTTATTCAAACAGAAGATGTGCAACAATAAAGAACCAGCCCCATGTTTAAAAAGTATTGTAAAAATTCTATCCCAAAATCTTTCTTTGTTTTTGCAGTTAGTGAAAAATGTCCAGATGAGATCAGCGACTGTGACGGAAGTGCCTTTTGTACCACCTCGTCTGGTAATCCTATCTGTATCTGTAAAACAGGGTACCACAGCAGAGGTGGCATATGTAAAGGTAGGGGAAAATTTGGTAACTTGTAATAAAGTTTTAGATGTTGTAAAACATAGAATAAGAAATCTTTTATCTACAAACTACTGATTTTATGTGCACTGCTTCAATGAACTACGTTTTGATGAGCATATTAATCCCATATTTTAAATCATTTATGCATTACACTTTCTTTATTAGGGAAAAAGCTTTAGTTATTTTTTATAATTTTTTCTCGTGTAGATATTAATGAGTGCAAAGATGGGAGCCACAACTGCCACCCCCATGCCACCTGTACCAACACACCCGGCAGTTTTACCTGTGCCTGTAACCCAGGGTACAGCGGCAACGGTGTCAACTGTGTTGGTGAGGAATGATTCATGTCTTTTATTTCAAAAAGTTTTTTTTCACATATCCTTACGAATCATCATACAGGTTGCAAAACGAAGAATAGAGTATTTGTATATGTTCTTGACTTCAAAATTGTGTCTTTACTTTTGCAGTTTGTGTTGTTTGGTAAGATAGAATGAGTCACGAAACCATTATAGGAATTCGTTTCTGACTACAGCTCTACAATGTCCGGCTCTAACGGCCCCAGCTAACGGAGCTCTGAGTCCTCCCGGACCTTACTACAACCAACACGCGGTAGGGTTTATTTGCAACCCTGGGTACGTGTTGAACGGGACCTATACTGCAACGTGCCAAGCTAAAAGGAACAACTTAATATGGAGTGACCCGGTCCCAACCTGCACAGGTATCAAAACAGCGATGGACTAATGAATACAATTTTATATGTGTATAATTCACCATAAATAATTTAAATACTGCATCACCGGGAAATGATTATGTATACGCCAATATACTTTCATTGAGGCATTAGAATTTGCAGCTGTGTTAATGTGTCCAGGTAGGTTGAAGCTACGCTTACATGCTGCATAAAGAAATATACGTTTTTTTGGGAGATACTAATGATAAGTAATAGTTGTGCTTTATATCTATGCATAGACCAGTGGAATGGCAATAGATTATGTCAAACTGTGTAAATGTGTCCAGCTAGGTTTAAGCTATACTAACACTAGCAACCTTACATGCTGCATACAGAAATGCAAGTGTTATTGGGAGATACTAATGATATCAAGTAATAGTTGTGTTTGATATCTATCCATCGACTAATATAATGGCAATAGATGGCAAACCGTTCCATCGTTGTTCCTTGCATTAGCGTTGCCTGCGCCGGCCCTGCCACCACCTGGAGCTTTACCTCCTGGATTGCCGTTGACAAACCAGAGGTGGGTTAAGTTGACAACATTGATATCTGTATCACATAATATGTTGAATATATCCACTGATGAAACCGATTAGCCGGACACTTTGGTTTTCAGTACCTGCAACTCTGAAGAGCTACACTTTCTTGTGTTTACGGCTCGCGACTACAAATTTTGCGTCTCATGAGCTAATATTTTTAATATTGTCACTGTAAGCCAAATGTCCATAATGCCTTCTACATTTATAACACAATGCTATCTGACTTGTTTTATTAAAATCTTAATTTGGAACGTTAGATATGCGGATACAAAGCGTCCATATCGTCTCTATATAGATTTGACAATAATTTAGAAACATGCATCAAAACAAAGATAACAATTTGTTTGACTAAACGCTACGTCAATGTAAAGAGGAAAGAATGACGACAATTACAATGATGATGATTGTTTGCGTGTAGGGTGTTTATCCCCTGTAACCAGACTAGTGACCTGGGCCTCGCACAGAGACGCCAACTGGAGACAAACTTCCGGGAAAAGTTGTTCACCCTATTTGGGGTAACTGCGACAAACGTCATCGTTACTAACGTAAGTTTTATTCTCTGACTTACGTTAACGTTGCGTGATCCATGACTCTATTGTCAGTTTTTCAGCACTTATTGACATAGTATTAGGCTAAACTTTCATAATTACGTTTGCATAGATATGACATATTAGTTTTCGCGAGCTCAAATTATAGTGTATTTTTGAATGCGTGGAATTGATTTGTTAAAACTTATTTATTGTTAAATACATTTGATTCGTCAATCACATTGGAAGGGCTTCTTTGATTAGGTCTTTTTCTTTTTTTTCAGTTTGGAATTGATTTTCAGCTGCTCGTAACGGAGCAGGACAAATTCCAGACGCAATTTGCCAGTCAACTACTCTATTCTACATTTACTGTGGGAGATGATGTCAACCCTGGCCTGTTTCACCTCCGTGATCCAACAGACTACACTGAGTAAGTGCGAAATATGACATGTCTTTATAGGTACACATGCATCTTTGAAGGCGAAGCAATATCTTCGATTTTTTGGGCCTATATTTTAGACTTTGAGTGCCCTAAATATGCATTTTATGAGGGATTTTTTTTGCTTCATAAAGTGTACTTTTCATAGTGAGTAACGAGTAAGTGGTTTCCGCCATGTTTTGTTCTTGGTTTGCATTTCAGTGTACCTTAGCGAAGTTGTACACGGAATTTTCTGTTCTTGTATTCTTTTGGTATTCTATTTATAAGGGGCATAAGATCGCTAGATGTCGATGCTACGATTTTATTAAATGAAAATAACTGAGTCTACCTCCATGTTGGTGTTCCTAACATTTTAAATGAAAACTCACCAATTCATTTATGGATTTGTAGCTTAAATTGTGACATCAATTATTGTTGCTATATTGCAGTATGGTTGTAACGTTAGAGTTCAGTGGTGTTGACTTCGGGAACTTGGCCAGCCAACATTCCTTCCCAGTGACTCAGCTCCCTTCAGCGCTTCGAGAAACACTGAGAAATGCCGGCATCTCTTCGCCTTGTGTGGACTCAATCAGAGTATTGCACATGGGGCAGGTAGATAACTTTCTCAGCTTAAAGCAATATCATTGTAGAGCATTTCAACATAAAAAACTTAGGAATGATGTTACGGCTACATTGTCAATGTATAGTATATGTTTTGTATATTACATGTGTCGTATGTTTGTTCGAAGGACCACATAAAGTGTAGCTGCAGTTTTATGCGGTAAATGTGGATCATAATAAAGAAAAAATCAAAGAATCTAACATGGGGCCGTGTGCATTCTTTTGACATCCATCTATTGATTAACCGTAAACACATTTTTACTCAGTCTAAACCTACATTTACAGAATATCATCACGTTCTCCATGTCGAAAGACCCAGACAGCACGACCAATCTCACGGAACAAGTCAAGAAACTTGAGGCAGTCCCAACACAATGGAGCACTGCAGCTAAATCTCGACTCGGTAAGTATAAAAGAGGCATTATAATTCCTTTTAGAAAGAAATTGTGAAGATTGAAAGTATATTTGACTCCCAGGGATGTGTGAGTTGATGCATTCCTTTGACGGAGGTAATCCCAAAAGATTTGAAAGTACATTTGACTCTCAGAGATGTAGGCTCTGTCGTGAGAGTGAATCAGCTTTGTGGTAACTCGACTGTGTTCCAGGCGCTCCCTTGCACCGGCGTCGATTACGATGGAACCTTTGACAGCATCTGCCCACCAGTAGGCTGTCCATGTACACCAGAAGACACCATTTCCATGGAGGTGAGCTACATTCTATCTAACCAGTCGTTCAAGACAAAAAAAACACGATTCTGGATCACCCAAAAAGGCCGATTCTTCTCCCTATTTGGCTACGTTTTACAATTTTTCAACTAGTCGTTTACTAACAGTCTAGTAGTGGGCAATACTCAGAAATGAAGGGAATCTGACATGGACAAGAATGCTCGTACTCATGGTGATAAATAGAAAACTAAAGTAACCCTATTTCTAACTGTGACTCATCTCTCTTCTTTCATACCAGGCGCCGACTGCCAGTACAGGAATGTCCACCTCTACCCAGGTCGGGCTGGCAGTCGGCATCCCTGTAGCCCTGGCCGCGCTGGCAGCACTACTGGCCCTGCTAATATTCTTCCTAAAGAAGAAGAAGAAGGGAGGGTACCGGCCTCCCACAGCCAAGCCGCGAAGGAGTGTCGTCTCCCCTGCAGTGGAGTCGTTTGAGAGAAACATCTACACCGTAAGAACCCTTTCCTATTTTGGTTCGTCTATTTGAACTTATTTTCCAGATGTCACAAGAAGGCATTTGACGTCAGCGATGCTTCCTGGCTTGTCCTTGTGTTGCCGTTGTGATTTCAATAACTGAAAATAAACGTTTTGACATTCAAACGTTTGCTGCCGAAAAATCCAGAGTTTGATTCTGGTACAGCCTGCTTGGAAGTCCCACGACATCAAAATCGTACGATGACCTACGATGGTTGTTAGTACGTCGTACGTCTCGTTTTATTTACAACATACGTTTGTGCTGGTTTCAGGCTTCCATGGACGACGCGTTCAGCCACGAGTTCGGCAAGAAGGGCGCCCAGCTGAACCGGTTCCGGGACCCAGACGCCGTGTACGGGCGGCTGTCCACAGCGTACACCCGGCCGCCCAGCACGGCCAGCTCCACGGCAACTAGGAACAGCTGGGTGTCAGGACCTGATTTCTACTAGACGTCGTCCCACAAGGCAACAATGCACCAGACACCTCGTACACTTATACTGAGATCACATTTCCAAACTGGAGCCCGGTCGGCCTGTTTGCATGAAAAAACAACAATTTTTATCCGGAATAGACACAAATAGTACTCATGATTGTCTTTTAATCTTTTTTGTGTTACTTTTCGTTCCCGAAAGCTGCCAGGCCGGGCCTCGGTAGGGAAATGTGACCTCAGCGTTAGTATTGTGTCCAGAACCGTACCTATCTAGTTCTATGCCTGAGTGGCTTAGGGCTAAGAGCAGGCACGGTTCTGGATAGAGAGCTGGCTCTCAGAACCTCATAGTTACTAGATGCCTTTCTAAAAGGCAACAACAATGCATTAGGCACATTTTACATTAAATACGTCGTTAGAACTTACTACGCCTGCATACGCAAAATCTGTAATGTGTTGTCCATAAACAGGCTTGGGACTCTTCATGGATGTTTGATTGTTGTGTTGGGTTTTATATCAACTTCTGACAATGCAACAAAAAGCAGAATGATGCTTGTGTGCGATAGTGTTTCTTAATACTGATTTTTCTTAGTAGGTAAATGTATTCAAACAATTGATACTATACCTACAACAATCATTTAGGTGCAAAGCATCATTTGACAATTTGTACATGTATTCAGATCAAGAAACCATAAAATGGTATATTTTGGTTCTCTTTTTAAAGTTAAAGTTTCATTACAATGAAGTCGTTCTCTGTTTGCGCGTATGTGTATATGTACATGGTACAAGGAATGCTAAGATTATTTAACAAAACCCTTGCAATAGCATCCAAATGAATATGCAATGTCTAAGTAACTATCAAGGTGCGTATAACGCATCAGACACTGGAGATGTCATTAAAAGAAAAAAAAAACTTTATATCAGTTCGCATTATATAGCTAGCTCTACATGTATATGTATACAACTTAAAAGTTTTTTGAAGATGAGTTGATTTGAAAGACGTTTATTTTAAAGATTGTTAAAATCAATCTTCGATCAATTGTCGTTACTGCTTAAGAAAGGCTGTTAGGAAGAGTTAACTGTATTTCAGTTTAAATGACTTACTTAGTTTGAATAAAAGACTATAAAAACCACGCGAACTGTAAAATTATTTGGTGGTCATACGTTCGCAAACTTAATGCATTCCTTGTGTCTTGAAAAATCAGCTTATGGAAAAAAGTCTATCTTAGATCATCCTCCGTCGACAGTTCTGTCATGGACCGCGTAAAACACCATAGGACCATCATCGTAGCACGACTTACGACGAATGTGATCGTGCTCTAAGTAAAAAGGGTATTGGTTTACACAAACTGCAGATCACTGTTGTCCACCTCGGTGTCCCCCTCCCCTGCCTCTTCTATCACCTCCTCTCCTGGCGTCTTCACACACGGCCCTCCCTTCTTAGCCGACCTCCTGGCGTTCCTTCTGAAACCCAACCTCGGCTTTAAACTGTGGGTCCGTTTTAAGGACTTGAATAGTGAAAATGGTTCCCTGGTGGTAACGCCTGATGTTGACGCGTCGTTTGTATCGTTTTTCTCACTCTGCAGTCGTTCTGCAGCCTGGATGTGTGAGGTTTTGTTGGTCGGCGGACTGATATGTTGGATCTCTGATTGGGTGCCTTTCCTAGGTGACTCCTGTTGATCGTCATAGTCAATCAAGTCTTTGGACGTTAGCTTGTCCTGGGTCTTCTGCGTTATCTTGTCATCATTTTGTGAAGTAGAACTTTTTCTAGTTGGACTGTTTGGTTTCGGTGGCATGAACTCGTAAACGATCGGGACCTTAGCGATGGGTGTGCCGGGTCTGTCGTCCTCTGTGCCGTTGCCTCCAGTCATGCCGACCATGGAAGACGACGGCGTGTCCTCGTCGATGAATTTCTTGCCTTTCAGGCCTTTTCCGTGAGGTCGCTTTCTCCAGTTGGCAACGACGACTTCGGAGCCCACACGGCGAGCTGTGAGAAGACAGTAAAGATTATGAAACCGTGTACATCAATAAATCAATGAATCATAAAGAAGGTAATAGTTAAACAACAACCCAGAACTAAAGAGCTTAAGAAGCTTTTAGAACACTTTTTACATGACCTAGGAGTCAAAGGTAAACCATAAAAGTTATAAAATGTTGCTGTGATAATCATATTCATATCTTGATATCAGTAAGTGAAATATACGTGTACATGGTCAAAAAGTATCGTATGGACCCTATGCTTGCAAGTTCTGTAAGATAACATCTAAGATACAATATATTTCACATCAAAGTTGGGGGACCAGTTAACTAGGTAGAAAGAGTGAAAGTGACTTAACTACACAGAGTAGAGACTGAAGCATGAAACGCCAAATACTTTTAGACCTACCTGATTTCTTTTTACAAACGCATATGATGATGACCAGAAAGAGCACCAGAAGGAACCCTCCTCCCGAAGATCCCCCTATGATCCACGGAAGCCAGTAGTCTGAGTCTTCCTCCTCACTGGCTACCACCATCTTCCCTGTTCTCTGAGTAAAGCTCGCTCCAGCAGGGTAGCTTATCTCAAAAACGATCCGAAATCCGTTCGAAGATTTCGTGACCCGGAGGTCGGTGTAGTTTGCCCAACCATCTACGAAAGGCACGGTGACTCCTCCTGCAAGTAGAATAAAAAATAAACATTCGTTGAGGTTTTCATACACAAATGTCAAAGACAACTACAGCAAACATTTATTTGAATAAGAAAAGTATACACGTAATCTATTTCAGAATATGGTGGCAGGTATCGACTTCCAAGAACCTTTGACCTTGCTTATGTCACAGACCCAGCAATCATTGCGCATTAGCTATGTGTGTCGAGTTGCACTAGGCAGTCAATAGATACGGTCCAGATTTTTGTGAGTTTTTCACTTTAGTATTAGATCACATTTTCAAACGTAGTCTTTTAATGTAGAACTTTCAACTAAAGCCCTAGTACCTTGAAGTGGAGAGTCTTGTGAGGAGGTGTATCCCTCCGCGGTTGCAGTGACGGTCCACGGCGCGGAGGAGTGCCCGACGGATGTGACGCGGTCACCGTTGATGTCAAGAAGGATCAGTACGGGCTGTACCGGGAGTTTGCCGACGGTAATGTCATGCGGCGGACCTTGGTAAATCTCCATCGATACAGGAACAGGGTAGTTTACGATGACGGACGATCCCAAATTCTCGGACACACTGAAAAGCAAATTCAGTACAATTGTTTTGTTACAGATACAATTTTAGTACAGACATTTTGAGTGGATGTGATTTGCCTGCTAAATCAATGACAGCCTTTGTGACATTAATTCCAACTTTTCTACGGATTCTTTTCATCTCATATACTTTAAAAGCCGCTACAAGCTCAACAGTTAGTTTAGTTTAGTCTAATTTAGACATTTTACAGTCTGTTTTGTTACTTTGTAGTGGACGTACCGTGTAGTATTGTCAGCTGTGTCCCATGTGATGTTCTCTGGTGGAGGGATGACATCAGCTATGGAAAGTGTCAGCACCTAATCATGACAGACGTAGAATTACTTGTTAGCAAATAAAGTTAGTCAAAACACAACCTATATTGGCACGCCGGTTTTGTATTGTCAAGTATTTACCTTCTTGGCACCAGATTAAAACCAATCTAGAGATTACAAGTAGTCTGATTTGAAATAGAGACAAAAATTCTAAAGATATTCATACCTCCAGACCCAGTTCCTCAGACATCGTTCCCTTCTGATAACTGTTGACGACTCTTGCAGCCGCTGCCTGAAGTTCTTCCCAGGTCACAGACACGTCTTCTGCTTGAGACTCTATAGATATGTATTGTCACTTCGTTATTTGCACAAACAATAGCACATATATGTGCCATGCAATGGAATCATGTTTGTAAATCGAAACTTATAAGACTTACATGACATGGCTTAACAGTAAAACCATGGTATTTCGTCTTGCTTGGGAGTCTATGAAAACATTTTGCTATTCGGAATTTGATCAGGCAAATCCAGATAAAAATACAATATAAAAAAAAATCTGATACGAGACCATTGATACCTTCAATCGCCTCAGCTGGAGTCTGCGCAGTCGTCATCACGTTGACGTCATACCGTTCGATGGTTGGCAGTGGAGGGTCAGCGACCTCAATGTGTAACGTCACGACCTCCCCGGACAGGTCACGTTTCCGCCGTCTGGAGTTCCGTTCAGTCTGTTCAGAAACAAAACAAACATCGTTCCATCTATTGCCTGTCTGTTGTTTGTTTATTTGTATGTATGTTATTTCTAGGATCTTCGTTTGTGTGATTCACACTATTCTTCCCGGAGTCCTGGTGATGATGTAAATCATCACATGGCTAATACGAAACGGGCGTTTGGCAAGCCAAATGTGCACAGCACTAGACGTTTGAAATTAACATTGTTTAACATCAAATGGGTATCGCAGCTTAGAACAACCGAGCAACCAATGCAGTGCATGTAATGCTGGTATGGATTCTAAATCGATCGTGGTTTCAAAACTTGGGAATGCAAGAACTTGTTTTCTTACTCACCTTGCTAATAATCCTGACGCGAGAAACGTCCACCACCAATAGGTCAGCAAACTTTTGTCTCACTTCGTCATCCCCGAACACAACTAACTCCAACTCCACATCTATGATGAGTAGCACAGTCGGAACAGTTCTAACCTCCACAGGTTCGCCTCCAGTCACCACGACATAAAATACACGATTCTCCCTATCGAAGTAGTTCACTCCGGTCTTGTTTGGTGGCAACTTTGGGACGAATGTTTCTGCTTCATCTTGGGTATTTATGTACAACTGTCCTCCAGAGAGTTTACCGTTAGTTGGTGTTTTGTATTCACCTGCCACGTAAACGTCTAGCCTCTCTAATCTGTCGTAGTACATTTGAAGCAGAATTCCGTGAGTTTCTTTTGTGCTCAGTAGGTGTAAGCGTAGATTCTGTGGATTCGAAGATGAGAAGAACACTTGGACAACTTGCCCAGTCGCAACGATCGTGTAGAAATTTGATATCCGTTTGGCACACGTGACGTC